GCTCAGCTGGAGACATGCATCCCAATCAGCAACAGAACAAGATTTGTCTCAACAAGAAAATAACAAATCAGCATTGAAATAAACAGAAAATCTCTCCAACCAGAAAAATAATAATCATTAGCAGCAGTTTTTTATGAAACAAATACGAAAAGAATTCATTATTTCATTAAACAAGTACAACAAGAGTTCATTACATTATAAAAAAGTAGCAAAAAATGCTCAATTTTAAAAAGCACATATCACATTACACTCAATTTTTTTTCAAATTATTCGCTAATTTCAAAAAATGCTCATGTTTCCAATAAATGTTCTCGATTTGTTTTGAAAAATAGCAATTTAAAAAGATGTTCTATTTAAAAAAATATCACGTACCTTTAAATATATATATATATATATATATATATATTCAAAATATTTGTGTACTTTAAAAATGTTCTTGAATTTTAGAAATTAACCACAAATTTTAAAAAGTGGTCTCCAATTTTGAAAATGTTCATGAATTTTTAAAATAAAAAATAAAAATGAATGAATAAAAATCCAAAGAATGGAAAAGAAAAACCTTTAAATTCATGAATTTTAAAAATATGTATGTAAACTGGTAGTACACTGGGTCCAGTTGTTGGTGGTTGAACCTCCTTGTGACCAGGCTGGACATTTGGACGCAATTAGGGCTTTGCTGCCGGACAAACCCCCAGGCCCAGACGGGTTCGCCACGCAACTCTATCAGCATTGCTGGCCTGTGATCAAGGATAGTTTCAGGGAGGCCTTTCAACAATTCTGCATAGGGTACAATAGGAGCTTTCACTTGCTAAACAATGCCTTCATCACGCTACTTAAGAAGGAGGATGTGGTGGAAATCAAAGATTTTAGGAAGGTTAGCCTGATACATAGTTTTGCAAAAATCATGGTCAAATCGTTGGCCAACAAGTTGGCTCCAAGATTGGAGGAGATGATCTCGTGCAACCAGAGCGCTTTCATAGGAGGACGGTGCATCCAGGATAAGTTTGCGCTTGTTCAACTTGTTGTCGAAACGTGCACCGCAAAAGAGTACCAGTTATTTTCCTAAATATAGATGTGGCAAAAGCCTTTGATACAACGGCTTGGCAATTCCTGCTACAGGTCCTTGATCGGAGGGGTTTCGGACCACGATGGCGCTCCTGGATAACTTCGCACCTTTCTTCGTCTTCTACACAAGTGTTGATCAACAGTTTCCCTGGAAACAAGATATGGCATGCTAGAGGGCTATGGGAAAGTATCTCAACCTTGTTCTAGACTGACAAATGGCTCGAGATTCTTTCTCCTAGGGACCTAACACTAGACATATATGATGTGATTCCCTGACAAGGTGACAGATGTCAGTCCATGAAGGGCTGCAACAGGGAGCTTGGATCAAGGACGTTAAAGGAGCTTTCTCGGCCAATTCTGCCGCCTATGGATATCCACTGAGAGCCAGAGAGCAAGCATGTCAGAGATCATGCATGAATTTTGCGGCAACAACTTTGGACATCGGCGGCTCCCTTGCAGCTCAAATTCTTTGGTTGGCCGGCTCTCCTCAACAGATGGTAGTCGTCAGTCTTTCTTCAAGCAAGAGGGCTGCAACACTAGCCGGCGTGTATCGTCTGCTCTTAAGATCCGGAGTCGATGAACCACATCCTAATGCAATGTCCCTTTGTTAGGCTCGTGTGGTTCTGGGTGACTCGGGCCCTTGATCTCGGCATTGATTCAATACTCAAACATAGTGCCATGGTGGGAACAGGTTCATGGGACAACGACGGTGACACGGAGGAAGGAGCTCAATGCCCTCATCAACCTTGTAATGTTCTACATAAGGAAGGAGCGCAACGGCCGCACATTCGAGAATACTCATGCAACGGAGGAGGTTGTGGCAAACAATTTTTTGTCCGAATGGCGTCAATGGTGGCTAGCCTGGAGCATATGGAGATGTAGCACCAAGCTGGTGGGAGAGAGAGCAAAACATAAACCCTTAGGAGTGTAGGTAGATGCATGTAAGCTTTCTGCAAACTTTTTTTTTACTTCATTCCAATCTTAATGAATCAACACGCAAAGTTCTTGTGTGTTCCGAAAAGGAAAATGTTCATGTTTTCAAGAAATGTTCTTCAATTTAAAAATAATAATATTTTGAAAAAATATGTTCGAGATTTTTTTTAATGGTCTTTAAAGCAATGCTTCAGATTTTTAAAAAATATCGACAAATTTTATAAAATCTTCTCTAATTTTGAAAATGTTCATGATTTTTTATAGTGAAAAATAAAAATGATTAATAAAAAACCTAAGAATGGGAAAGAAAAAACATAAAAAATCATATTTAAAAAAACTATGTAAAGTGCGAGTGCATTGGGTCTAGCCTTGGTGGTTGAAACCCCTTGTGACCAGGCTGGTTATCGCTCTCCTGCGTTGTTCCTTCCAGTGACGCTAAATTTGCGAGCCACCACCGTACGCCAACATCTGCATGTGCCGAAGAAGGCGCCCTCCCCACATTATAAATAAAGCCACAACCATTACAAATGAGGATACAAATGCACACCAGCCCTGGTGGGGATATCAGCTATACAAGAGAAGCACAAAAGAGCTAAAAACAGGGAACAAAAAATAGGAACTAAGCTGAGCCAAGCTAAGCACTAAACTAAGGAGGATAGCTGGTTCCAGGAAATAAGCACAAGACTTTTCAGAACGCCTCTGCTACTTCTTGAGCTTGTGTTGTTTTTTCTCTTAAAGAGGAAAGAGTGATGCAGCAAAGTAGAGATAAGTATTTCCCTCAGTTAAGAACCAAGGTATCAATCCAGTAGAAGGTATAATCAAGTCCCCAATAGATGCATCTGCACAAACTAACAAACAATTGCACACAACGCGAAAAAGGAGTTGTCAATCACTTCACGGTCACTTGCAAGGGTGAGATCTAATAGAGATAGATATAAAAGATAAATAAAAGGCAAAATAAAGTAAAGGTAAATAAATTGCAGTAAGGTATTTTTGGGTTTTTGGTTTTATAGATTTGAAAATAATATGATGGAAAATAGACCCGGAGCCATAGATTTCACTAGAGGCTTCTCTCTTGAAAGAAAATATATGGTGGGTGAACAAATCTATTGAGCAATTGATAGAAAAGAGCATAGTTATGAAGATATCTAACGCAATGATCATGCATATAGGCATCACGTCCGTGACAAGTAGACCGAAACGATTCTGCATCTACTACTATTACTCCACACATCGAATGACTCATGTCTGCATCTAGAGTTTTAAGTTCATAAGAACAGAGTAACGCCTTAAGTAAGATGACATGATGTAGAGTGATAAACTCAAGCAATATGATATAAACCCCATCTTTTTATCCTTAATGGCAACAATACGATACGTGCTTCGCTACCCCTGCTGTCACTGAGTGAGGACACCGCAAGATTGAACACATCACAAAGCACCTCTCCCATTGCAAGATAGATCAATCTAGTTGGCCAAACTAAATCAATAGATCGGAGAGAAATACAAAGTTATCTTAATCATGCATAAAAGATTCAGAGAAGACTCAAATAATATTCATAGACAATCCGATCATAAATCCACAATTCATCGGATCTCAACAAAGACACTGCAAAAGATTGCATCGAATAGAACTCCAAGAACATCGGGGAGAACATTGTATTGAAGATCAAAAAGAGAGGAGAAGCCATCTAGCTACTAGCTATGGACCCGTAGGTCTTGGTAAACTACTCACACACCATCGGTAGGACAGCAAGATTGGTGTAGAGGCCCTCCGTGGTCGAACCCCCCTCCGACAGAGTACCAGAAAAGGCCCCAAGATGGGATCTCATGAGAACAGAAGCTTGCGGCGGCGGAAAAGTATTTTTGTGGACGCTTCTGATGTAGTGGGAATATTTGGGTATTTATGGAGCAAGAATTAGGGTTAGGAGGTCTATGAGGGTTCCACAAGCCTAAGGGGGCGCCTCTAGGGCTTGTGGCCGCCTCGTAGGTCTTCTGGCCTCCTCTCCAATTCTCCTGTGTTTCTGCTGGTCCAAAAAAAATCATCGTAAAGTTTTATTCTGTTTGAACTCCGTTTAGTTGAAAGACAAAAACAAGAAAAAAAACAACAATAGGCACTAGGCACTAGATTAATGAGTTAGTCCCAAAAATGATATAAAATAGTACCATAATGCATATAAAACGAGAGCGGCGTTTTGGCTCCTAGGTGCATATGCACCCATTGTCGAAATACACATTTCGAAAAGTTAAAAAATTTGGAACAAAAATCCCACGTGTATATCCGGACATTATATGTGCGTTCACAAGGTTTCGGTGAAAAACGACGTTTTTGTGGCTTGTGTAAAAAAGATGCCTCCGAAGAGGAAAACAACGTCCAGGGGAGGATGGATGGGGCGTGTTGAGTATGTATTTTATACTGCATGTGTATTGAAGTTGTGTCCACCTCGTAGTCTTGTATAGTTGAGGTAGAAGTTTTTACTTGTATTATATATGTGTGCACCAGCACCGCAATCAATACAACGATTATTGTATTGCAAAACATCTTTCTACAGGGAGCAATGCCTCCGAAGAGGAAAACAACGTTCCGTAGACATCTTCGTCGCCAGCAAAGGCCAAGGTCGTGCGTAGCTTTCGCTGAACCATCCTCCCGAGGAATTGAAGCGTGACCACCATGTCGAGGAAGAACAACCGCTCGACGCCACGAGCATCCACACTATTTACTCAACATCTCCTTGTGAGCAGGCTGGTTACTGATTGCTGGAACCACCACCGTACGCGAACATCACCACACCACACGCATTTCTACCCGTGTGTATCCATCTATCTACCGCGGCCGGTCACGCGTCGGGCGCTCAGTGGCAGTTTCCCCTTTGGGCTTGGGAGCTCACTGCGCGCTGCCGCAGCTTCACCCACACCCTCGGGCTCCAGTACGATCAATCAACCAAAGAAAAGAATCACACCTTCGGGTCCGTCGGCGACGCAGGCGGCGGCGGCGGCCATCCATGGACACGGGCGAGATCTTCAACCCAGGTGAGCCGAGCTGCCACCAACTCCCCCATCCATGGCCATGGACATTCGTGTCGTTTTTTTCCCTGTTTGGGAGACGCCGGCCGCCTTTTCTTGACACGGTCTGCGGTCGCCGTGCGTGCGTGCGTGCGTGCTTGCGTCCATGTCCAGGCTGCGGCGGGCCGGGCGGCGCCGGCTGCGACTGCGAGGACCGCGAGGAGTGGGGGCGCTACTGCTACTGGAATCACGACCACGGCGACGGCCGCCCCATGCAGTTCCTCCTCTTCGCCTCCGACGACAAAGATCAACTGGTGACTGACAACCAACCCCTCCTCCTCCTCCTCCTCCTTCCATCGATTCGGTTTCCTCTCTACATGACCTTCCGACGCCACGGGTCCAATTTGAGTGTTTTTTTGGTGGGTGCTCAAGATTGCGCTGAAAAAAAAAACTTAAATTTCATGAAAATGTTGCCGTGTGATGGATGCTAAAATCTGCCTGGTATAAATTTTGTTTCACAACATACAGTATGTATGAACAAGAGGTAGCAGGGGGGAGAACACTCTGTATGTGCCTGTCAAACATGCTAGAATTGCTTACCTGCATCTGACTTACATATGTATGAAACTCTTATATTCCCACAAACGCTGAAACCTACATCTGACTCTAACCAAAGTGAACCTTGACAGTGCATACCATGGGAGGTCTCAAGCAAGCTGAGAGATATGATCCCCGACTCCGAGCCTATCAAACTTGAAACTCCTGATGGTCGCACGTACAGTGTTAAATTCGTCAAGTTCGGCCAGATAACTCTTACGACCGGGTGGCGGGGATTTGTGGATGCAAATCACATAGAGGAGAACAACCCCATGTTGTTTGTGTACCGTGGGAATTCAACCTTTAATGTTCACATATTCAATTCGTCCGGCCACGACAAGTCCTTGCCCTGCTCTCGACCACCTTGTGATCATCATGTGCTGAATGGTAAAGTGGATCAGAATCTTCAAGTCTTAATGTTTTCTCTATGCTTTTGTGTTTCTAATTCTAACATTTTTCTTGATGTGCAGAACAAGTGGTGCCTCATCCTGGACATGTTGATAGCTCAGCCCACTTTGGCTATACCATGTTGCCCGGAAGCTCTGTAACCAAGGCACAAGATGATAAACTGCTAGAATGGGCTCATACCATCAAGTCTGGATTTCCTCTTTTTGTGGCAGCCATGGACGAGAGCAATGTCAGCTTGAACGACTGCCATGTTGTAAGTTGCATCATGTTTTCCCAAATCATTTTTTGGTTATGATAGTTACTCTATTCATGTTGATCATGATTCTGTCTTTTAAATCCCGCAAAAATAAATAAATAGATTCTGTCTTTTAAACCTCGGCTCTCTTTTTTGGGTACATGCAGTACATACCACGGTGTCTTGTGGGACAGTTCAAAGAGGAGGTGGTCAAGATTGTAGCCCCTGACGGGAGTGAATACGGTGTTGGCGCAAAGAAGCACAATGATGATCAAATCGTACTCCAATCTGGGTGGGACAAGTTTGTGGCTTCTCAGTGCATACAACAGAATGACTTGCTCATTTTCATAATTGAGGGGGAAGCTCGCCTCAAAGTTCTTGTCCTTGACCCAAGCGGTAGTGAGAAAACTTTTGACATGGGAAACTCTTCCAATGCCCAAGAAAAGCAACCACTCCCACCTACTGTTACTAACCTGAGTTCTGAGGACAATGAAGTTACTGACCTGAGTTCTGCTTATGATGAAGTCGTGGGAAAAGACACTACAACATCAAGGAGGGAGCAGAGGCCGCTACGAAGCTGTCGTGTAGAAGCTGAGAAGATGGGTTCAACATCCTGCCCTTCTACTAAATCAGGTCATAATATTATAGCTGCCATGTGCACTTGTTTCCATTTGCCATATTTTAGACAATCGACTTGTAGTTGTCGTATGCTCACCACAAGAAAATATGGCATGTTTTTCAGGACACAAAGCTGGCAACTCGAATGAAGCCGGCATAGAAGCTCCTATGCCCAACAAGTCCTACATAGTGCCTAAATCTGGACGCTCAGCTCGAGCTTTTGGGCTCGGCTCGCGCTCGCTGCAACTCGGCCCGAGCTAGGCTCGGCCCGTCAAGTAAAAAGGCCGAGCCGAGCTGTACTTTTAGGCTTGTTTCGACCTCGGGCCGAGCCAGGCTCGGCTCGGTCCAACTAGCGAGCTAAAAGCTCGCAGCCCAGCGAAGGCCCAATGAACACCACACACCACAATTTAGCCCATCTAGCCCAGCAAAATGACTACAGAGAGGCAGACGGGAATCAAATCGCTAGGGTTGCTCACTTTCTCGCCGCCGCCGCCGCCGCCACAGCATCCGCTTGCCTGGGCGTCATTGGCAGGCAGCACACCACCGCTCCCCTATGCTCCTCCCTTCCCTCCTCTCCTTCCTCCCCAAGCCCCTGCGTCGGCGCAAGCTTTGCATCCCGGCCTCCAGCGCGGCTGCCTACATGCAGACGAACCACCAGGCCGAGGCCACGCTCGTCGGCGTTCTCTTCCTGCTCACTGCCGTTCTGCTGCGTGCCCGCGCCCGATGGAGTTGACGACTAGCTGGCAAGTTCCTTGCGCCCCGCGGCCGCCGGAAACGCAGATGACCACCTCAAGCTCCCATGCATGGCCGAGCAAGTCGGAGTGAATCCACTCGCTCCCCCGGCGGCGAACGGCCATGAACTGCAGCAGCATCCCGACGCTTGCACGCGGCACGCTGCCGGCCATCCTCCACTGCCGTTCCCCGTCCTCCAGATGGTGGCCCCACATGGCAGCGACCAGTTGCTGTTAGGCTTGCCGAGCCTCCGAGCTGCACCGAGCAAGAGGCAAGCTCGGGCCGAGCCCCAATATCTAGCTCGTCTGACTACTGGGCTCGGCTCGAGAAGAGGCGAGCTAAGGCAGGCTCGGGGCGGCTCGCGTCCAGGTATAATAGTGCCCCAAGCAGGGGCGACGAAGCTAACTGTGCAACAGGAGGAGAAAGTTAAGGAGAAGGTCCGGGCGATCGGATCTGAATTCCCTGTCTTTGTGAAGGTGATGACGGCATACGATGTTTCCAAGATAGCACATCTGGTGAGTTCACAACTTCAGATACCACGTGCAATATGCATAGTCCGTTTCTCATCCAAAATTAAGCTTGCAAATTTAGAACCATTTTCTTGCTGAATGAATCGTCGGCCCAAGAGAGATTCGATCGCCATCTTGACTGACGGGCCCTTCTCTGAACAGGCCTTCTGCAGGGAGTATGCTTCGGCGTGTCGTCTCCCGCTCGAACAAACACCTCTCCTGCTTAGGCTGGAGGGTAGCAGTATGCGGTGGAGTAGCGCGCTGATGGTCCAGCAAAATAACAATGTGAGGCGGATTTGCTCATTCTGGCAGGACATTGTCTCGCAAGCCGGGACGGAGGACTCCTCGTGGAACTGGCAGGCAGGAGCAGCAGGAGGCTCAGGATGACGGTCCATCTGATCCGCAAGTCGGAATGCAGCTCTAGCTAGCTCTTGCTCTCAAGCATCTAGTTAGTGGTCTCTTTGTGTGTGTGGTCTCAAGAATGGTGGGTTTTAACTCTGCTGGTGTATGGATTGCTTCATGATTATTCTGAACAACCTGCAAGTCTCTAGTGTGTAATATAATCTCGGGAAATTAATACTGAATCCTTGACCCACCTGTGCTAGTGCTGCTGCTGCTGATTATTATTATTTTTTCTTGTTGATGACAGATTTCATTTTATTGCTGGTTTATCTATATTTTCTTGTTGATTTTCTTGAGCATTTGTGTTGGTGTTTCCTACGAACAACTCATGTGTTATCTAAAGCATGTGTTGAGCAGGATCACAGCAACTTCTTCCGAGTACATACTGCATATCGAGTGTTGGGATTATTTTTCTTCAGCGAACCACACTGTCTAAACCTCATGCAAAGGATCAGCTGAACATTCTCAGCTATGAATCTCTTTCAGACTGCATATGGTGAACTTGGGAATAAGGGCAAGTATGGACACGCAAAAGATAAGGTGTTTGTAGTACACATGCTGGTCATCTCAGTTCAGTTGCATATCCTAATTATGTACTCGACCAAAGTTTGGTGATGCACAAGCTATATAATTCTTCTTCTTTCAGTTGCAAACCAGATTTTATCGTATAAGACCTGAAAAAAAATATGCAGAAACAAATTAACATACACACCTGGTAGATATATTTGTGCATCAAATGCCACCAAAAATACACGCTGGCTGAGAAAACAAAACAACCCACATTGAAGTGTCCTAAAATTTGCCCCTGACATGCAAATATGAGGCCAGGAGAACACTGGGAAACAGTATCTAAATGCAGTTCACAATTTGGGGCTCTAGTGATATGCAAAGTCAGCCATGAGTAGTACGGATAACTTCTTTTCGTGGTGAAAAATGGAGGCGTTGGTCACCTCGATTGGAATCATAAATAAAGCTGTATAATCAGGGACGGTAACATAGTATGCTCTTGATCTAAGTCTAGAAATTAACCACCTTTGCTTGACTGCAGAGGAGACACAACTCATGTCTCTATTCCCAGGCAGTGGCGGAGCTATGTTGGGGCCAACCCGTGCTCTGGCCCGCCCATCTCAGATGCAACACTGCCTAATTAGCCTGCCAACTGACGTGACACGTCTCTTTTTCTATGTCTTTTTCTTTGGGTTGGCCCGCCCAACTAATCCAATGAAGCTCCGCCACTGTTCCCAGGCACTCTTCAGCTAAAAGGTCATTGTCTTTTGCAAACATATCTGTCAGACTGCAGCCTATGTTTGCACTCTTGATTATCCAAAACCGTGGCCTTATCATCCCTTCCAGAGAATAGCTGAAAAACCTAGGGTAATCCACAACCGGTTTAAGTGCTTTCTTCAAGTTTCATAACAAGCTCAATAATACTGTAAGCCAGATGTGGGGAGAATCTGGAGATCACTGAGCAGACATCTTTCTTCACAATCCCAAGGAAGTAATATCATTCTTAGCTTTGCGTTCCTTGCGAGAATTTCATAGCCACTCCTTTCATATGCGTGAACAGAATAAAAACCGTAGGCGACCTACTGAACATAAGGTAGTACAGTGTCAAACAGTGCAACATTCATCGGAAGAAGCATATCTGCAAGTTATAATCCATATCTTATACTCTCTCCGTTCCGAATTACTTGTCTTAAATTTGTCACTAAAATAAGTCTAGATACATCTGTATCTAGACAAATCCAAGACAAGTAATTCGGAACGGAGGGAGTATCTTATAAAAAACGGAGTTGGTGATGATGGCATGCCTGCCATCCTGCAATATAATCCGTCCGATTTATATCTGACGGATAGGAAAGAAACTATGGCAATTTTGCAAAAATATACCCACACCCCTCTCCATATTTGCAAATAAGATCTTCCCTCATTCATTCTTTTCTCTCACAAGATAAACTACTCATACAGATGCATCGTGATGTTCTGTGCAACGCACGGGCATCTTGCTACTAATCCATACTGTCACAATATCAGAGATGCAACCATTTACTAGACTAGTGTTAACAAAAATTTGCTACACATTTCGTTATCTGATCAGCGGTAAATGGCTCCATGAAAAGGTTTGGCATGTCAGAAAACAGAAGAATGAAGTAATGGCGGCGGATGGGTGAGCTTGGCTTTGGCGGAGGAGAGGCGCAGACCGAGGCTGTCGACGAACGCAACAGGACGACGTTCCGCGTCGCGCCCCCATGAAGCACACCTTCCTGCTGAAGTCGAGCACGCCCATCTTGGCGCTGGCGCTCCCAGATCACGGCAGAGGGAAGGCGATGTGCGTGACAGGGCGCGAGGGCTCTTGGAGAGGAAGGAGGCCATGGAATGGAAGCAGGGAAGAGGAGGATGATAGAGCCGGAGGTGGAGGCGAGCAGGGAGAGGCGGAGACTTGCCACGGTGCAGTGCTAGGCATTTCCCCCTTTTTTTATTTTTTTAGGAGGCGTCGGCAGCGGCGGACGCCTGTCTCGAAGCGGCGTTTTTCTTTTGAGAGAAAAGTGAGAGCAACTAGTTAACGAGCGCTCTTTCGGGATCCTCGCAACGATCAGCGTCACTTGGTGCGCTCTCAGCCATTCGCCACGTGTCGCGCTCTAGGTGCTTCCTTTGAATTTTATTTTTTTATTTTTTCACACGCGTTTTCAGCTTTTTAAACGGGTTTTTTTTTTGTTTTTTTTGACATTTTGGTTTTCCACCGGTCTTCCTTAGCTTTTCGACCAAAAAAAAGTTTGAAAAACAATTTTTTGCATGAAAAAAGTGTTTTTTCCTTTCGCGAGAGTCACGGTTTTGCTTCCGCG